CTCTCTCTCTCTCCTTCCTTTATTCAAAAGGACCCAGCCTCTTTCTAAGCTCCGCCCTACTACTTCCTGTGTCTGTCTATATGTCCTGGGTCCTCCAAAACCTCTATGGCTAATTTTGGTCAGCTAGTAGCTAGCTCCACTCTGATTCAAGAAAAACTTTATTGACAGTCTCAGGAGTGTAAGAGTGCAATCCAAATATTCTACAACATTTCACCCTTTTGTCTAAATAAACAGGGAAGATTTTAACTAAACACAGTAAAACTATATACAATAAAAACAATTATCAGGTAAGAATTACATTTACAATGTCCATCTACTTGCATTTGGCAATTCAGAGAGAATACTTCATTATCTATCCTATCTTGGTGAGTCCAGAGTTTTGTCCTTAATTCACATTTTATCCTAACTTGTATTACCAACCCAAACTATCTTTTTGGACCTCAAACTATTTTCTTAGATAAACAATTTAAACTTTTATATCTCTCAAGCTTATGTACTTAGAATCTTTTTTGAATTTGGTAACAAGAAAACTGTAACTACTGTCTAGTCTTCAACTCCATTAGAAGTCTGAGAAGGATACAATATTACCTGAGTAAATAGGAAGTACAGAGCAAACAACTTCCAAAGCTACAAAAATGATAGAAACAGCTGGCTCCATGGATAATCACCCAAGGTTTCTCTGCAACATTGGGTCATCCATCTTCAACCTATAGGTCTAGAATATCTGACAGACTTTTCTGTGAAGCAGGAATTTAGAAGGACTGTCTACCTTGTCTTGGCAAAGTTCGGCAGTCTCCTTCTTTTCTGTCTTGCTTGTCCAGTTTGGACAGCATACTGTCAGCAGTCAAGGCAAGGGTAATTTCTTGTCCAGTGGCTAACTTTACCACATTGAAATCAAACTCCATATGGAGGTTCTTTGATGCCCATCATCCTCTTTTGAAGTAAATTGGTGTTGTCAGGAGCAGATGAGTCTCACTGTCATGAAAAGTCTTAGGTTATTAAAACATCTTAAATTCTGTAGTCTTAGGTTATTGAAACATCTGAATTCTTAGGTCTCTGAAGTATTTGAAGACCATTTATCTACTTAAAATATATCTCTATTTGACCTTGAAAACATACCCAATATGACTATGAGTTATAGATGACTAACTACTAGCCTGTATTTCTTTATTATCCTAAGTAGCTTTCAAGGACTAGAACTATAGTCAGAAGTTTTCCTGTGTCCCACCTGTCCAGCAGTCACTCAGACAAGTAAACATACAAAGGTTTATATTACTTACAAACTGCATGGCCTAATGGGTCAGATTTCTTGCTAGCTAGCTCTTATAACTCAAATTAACCAGTTTCTATTAATCTATGTTTTGCCATATGTTCCGTGGCTTACTGGTCTGCTGACATGTAGTTCCTTGGGTGGAAGGCAGGCATCTTTTCGCCTCTCTTTTTGCTTCCTGTCTATCTGCTTGAATTTCCACCTGCCTCTAAGCTGCCTTGCCATAGGCCAATGCAGCTTTATTTATCAACCAATCAGAGCAACACATATTCACAGCCTACAGAAAGACATCCCACAACATAGAACTTTACATTAAATTTTCAAATGAGCTGCATAGGTAAAATATCTTAAACAAGAATAGAACTATATATACAGTATAACGAAAATAACCTTAACTTTGTATCAATATACAAGAACATCTTAAACAAGAGTAGAAACATATATACAGTATAACAAAATAACCCTAAACTTGTATCAGTATACAAAAATACCTTAAACAAGAGTAGAAACACATATATAGTATAACAAAAATAATCTTAAATTTGTATCAATATACAAAAATCCATATCAATGTAAAATATTTAAGACTAGTGATTGCTTTTTTAGTTTAAAAGTGTTTCAATAATTTATGCCTTTATGCTATCACTCCTATATCCCCCCCTTTTCTTTTCAGAATGAGATCCCTGAATCTAATCTTCTCCCTGACTATGACCAATAGCAACTTGCAACCAACCCCCTAAATGATGACAAATATCCATAATCCACAAGATTTCCAAAAGCCACCCACCCCAGCTCTTGGGAATGTGGGCATCATGTTCTTAAACTTACTTCCTGTTGTCTGGGGGTGATGGTATCTTTGGGATAACAGTTAAGTCCTGGGAGAGCCAGCTCTTGTCCAAGTCGGTGTGATTGGAAAGTGCAAGGCTTATCAAGTCCTGGCTGGAGTAGTTTACGAAGCTGGACCATCTTAGCTAACCAGCTTGAAATTGTCCTGAGAAGTTTGTAGTCCCAAACTAATCTTTGGGTGGTGTTTGTCAGCTCAGTGGTGTTACCACAATCTAGGTGGAATCGTCGTTGTGGGGCCCCATCATCCTTTTGGAGACATCAAAGGTCGTTGTTAGGAATGGTCATGATTCACTGTAGAAAACTTAAACATTTTAAATGTCATATGCAGCAGATCTCAGAGAAGTTAAAGGATCACAATTTGTTAATTACATCCAGGGTACACAAATTTAATTCCTAGTTACCTGCTTCAGACTCAAGCCCAAAATCATGTACAGGAAGTTAGATGAAGCCTATTTCTAGAATCAGTGCTCTATATAACCATTAATATCATGATAGAAAGTTTAAATATATATTTAATTTTACATATCTATTTAATTTATCTTATAAATTTTGAGATAATATTTATATCTTAAGTAAAGTTTTAACCAGGCAGTGGTGGTGCAGGTCTTTAATCTCAGCACTCAGGAGGCAGAGGCAGGAGGATCTTAGTTGGAGGCCAGCCTGGTCTATGGAGTGTGTTCCAGGACAGCCAGGGCTACACAGAGAAACCCTGTCTTGAAAGAGAAAATGAAAGAAAAGTTTTAAAGAGTTAAAATAAAACCAAAGGATTATGAGATTAGTGGCAATACAATCGTCCTTTTATTTGATTTTTCTTTTGTCCCAAACCAGGTATCTCTGCTGACATGAGACTAAGATTTTGGATTTTCCTTTAACAAGCATACTTGGGTTTAGAGAAGGAGAAAGCCGTGCTTTCAACTGCAAAGCACAGACATACATGCAGCCAAAACACTCAGATATACAAAAGAAATAAATCTCTCTTTAAAAGGGTGGGAGTACTGGACATAGTGCTCCTCTTCTTTAATCCCAGCACTCTGGAGGCAGAGGCATGTAGATCTCTGTGAGTTCGAGGCCAGCCTAGTTTACACAATGAGTTCCAGGACAGTCAGGGCTATGTAGAGAGACCCTGTCTCAAAAAGAGGGAGGGGAGCATGGTGGCGCATGCCTTTAATTCCAGCACTCAAGAGGCAGAGGCAGGAGGATCTCTGTGAGTTGAGGCCAGTCTGGTCTGCAAGAGAGTTCCAGGCTTACCAGGGCTATATTGAGAGACCTTATCTCAATCGATCAATCAGTCAATAAGCCAGTGAGATGGCTCAGCTGGTGTTTTGTTTACATGTATGCTCATCAAAAGAGAACATTGGATCCCATGGTGACTACAATTACAGATGGCTGTGAGCCATCATGTGGGCTCTGGAAATTGAACTCTGCACCTCTGGAAGAACAGCCACTCTTAAGCACTGAACCATCTCTTTAGCCCCCTTCAACTGAGTTTAAAGATGAAAAAAAAAAAAAAAAAACCCAACCATTATACTTAGAAAACAGGGAAACGGGTCAGATAAAATGTTACACACCTGCAATCCCAGCATTTGAGAAGTGGAGGCAGAAATTAGGAGTTCGAGGGCACCCGCTGCCAAAAAATGACTTTGAAGCAAACGTCACCTAAATGAGACACTGTCTCAGAAAACAGTTGGGGCTCTGGAGAGATACTCAGTGCTTTGGATTCCCAGCACTTACATGGCATTTCACACCTGGCTGTAACTCCAGTCTAGGGATCCACCCTGGGATTCCTAGTGAATTCCAAGACAGCCAGAGCTACTTAGCGAGACCCTATCTCAAAGGGAGGGGATCAGTTTTTACCATACATTTAGATTATTTTTATTATTTTGTTAGGCAGGGAGGGTGTTGGGGGTTGAGTGCTGGAGGGTGATGACATGTGGGAGTCAGAGGACAACTTTGTGTTCTCTCTCTCCCCCCCTCCCCCCTCCCCCCCTCTCCATAGGTCCCTAGGATCAAATTGAAGTTGTCAGGCTTTAGCAGCACGTGTTTTGCCTACTGAGACAACTCGCCAGTCCCCACGTATGATGTTTTATAAAATAAACCATTCAAATAGCGGTCCATATGTGTACATGCCAAACAGGTGCGTGTGCACACTGACATTACTATTCGGGGGCTACTTTATTTCTCTATGTACTCGCCCCAAGATGCACACTTTTTCTTTTTCATACTTTAGCCAGACACGGAACACACCAGGAAACACTTTCAAGTTAATCGTCTGGGGACACTGGCTGTCTTCCATCCTTACTTCCATTCTTACTCTCTTCCTGCGTTTCCATTTCTCCCATGCCCCCTTTTCTGTGTCCTTTCCTACTTCTTTGTCTATTTCCTTCAGAATCTAAGGCTTAGATGCTGTGGGTTCTCTGTTCTCACTCCTAGGACCTACCTGTCACCTACCCCAGAAGCTGAAGCCTGAGTGGCTACCTTCATTACCTAGGGCTTCTCTGATTAAGGGAGGGAACTCCACTCATGCTCAGGTCAGTGACTTCTCTCCACCTGAATGGACAGGATTTATGCACAAAACGCGCACCTCTGGCCCTGACCTAGGGGCAACCTGTTCCAGGAGAGGCCCTTTCTGCGGCCATGTCCTTGCCAGTCTTAGTCCCCGTCTCCCCCTGGTGATTCCTGGGCCCACTGCAAAGATGGACCTTGTGGGCCCCAGTCCTTGTCTCAGAGCCCGGGAGGTCTCGGTCTTCCCTCCCCTCTCCCTTGCTCTCAGTCACTGCGGAGAAAAGGGGGCGAGGGTGCAGACCGAGCGGCTCCTCCTGCCCGCAGGGGGCGCTGTGGGGCGGAGCGACGGCCGCGTCGCACCCGCGCGGGGGCTGGCGCTGGGTTTGGGGGGATTGTGGCCTGGGGTCGGGGAGGAGCGGGTCCCCGCCTCGTCGCCGGGGAGCGTGGGCGTCGCCGGGGCCAAGGCCCAGGCTAGGCGTGTCCGCGCTGGCCATGGCCGGACCCGCTCGGGTAAGGGCCCCGCGCGGACCGGGCTCAGGGCGGGGCGGGGCCGCGGGCTGTGCGTGCGGCGGCGTGGGGACCCCGACAAAGCCGGGTCCGCGCGGCGGTCGCGGGCGCCACCGACCGCGGCGGCTTCACAGCCTTCTCTCACGATCGCAGCAAACGCCTTCGGGGTCTGGGTTTCCGAAGGTTTGCAGTGGAATCCTGCGGGGTTTACGAGGTCATAATTTAGCCGCAGACTGGCGTTCACTGCGTTCACGTTGTGCGTGAGGAAGGACCTCATGCCAGGAGGTCTACGAAAAGGGCTGTAAAATCGGCATGGAGCTCGCGCCCTGTGATTATTTCGTGTTTTGTTGAAATCAGGGAGTAGAGGGAATGGCTGGTTTTTATTATGCTGCTCTAACTGCTCTATTAAGCATTCTTGATTATTAAATAAGGCAGAGATAAGTAATTTTAAAACACCCTGTACGTTCTCGACGAATGTACAGTTTTTCAGGATTACATATACAAAAGGTAGGCAGTGCAGTTATAAACAGAATTTTGAGTAGACGGGAGCTGGCCATTTCTGTAGATAGAAAAATAAACAATAAAACATTCTTCCGTAAATCCTTTTCAGTTTCATGAAATGACAGATATTTGTGAATTTATTAAAAGTAGATAATAAAGCTCAGTAGATAATAAAAGCAAAAGATACAGTAGTTCTTCCTAATCCACAGGATATGTTCTCTGACCTCCAGTGGGTGCCTAAAATGGAGTATCATAGGAGGAGCTCTAATGTAATACTTTACTGTCTTAACCAAAGCCCCTGCTGTACACTATTGCTGTGGAACTCTTGCAGTTTAAATTATGACGGCAAAACTGGCATGACTTTGTTCTTGTTGTTATCATCTTCACAATTTCACAGGTTGAGGGTTCATTCTTGCTACAAATTTTAGCAACTTCAGCATAGAAAAATTCTTTTAAAGTGGGAAAGTGGGAGACTTTCACTTTTCTCCTAAAGGAAACACTTTGAAGCTGGACCTGGCACTGGGGAGGCGGAAGCAGGAGGATTGCTGCCAGATTTGGGGCAGTCGGACCTGGGGCGTGAGACCTTGTCTCAAATGCCAAAACAAAGTACAACTTTACAGCTTCTCTTTGACATTTTTATCTGAATTACCACAATACATACTCTTTCACTTTGGTGGCATTATTAAGAAAAGTAAGGGTGTGCGAACACATACTCTGATATAGAAGAGTAGTGGGTAATTTTTTGTATGGGCTGTGTTTTCTTAGCTGATAACCACTAGCACACCTCCTGAAATTGTTTTGTTTTGTTTTGTTTTGTTGTTATTGTTGTTGTTGTTTTGGTTTTTCAAGACAGGGTTTCTCTGTGTTGCTTTGCGCCTTTCCTGGAACTCACTTTGTAGACCAGGCTGGCCTCGAACTCACAGACACACAATCAAAACAGTCTCCAGGCTTTGCCTGTGTCCCATGGAGGGCAAATTGTGGACGAGAACCATTAACTTCGTATTTCTCACAGAAGAAACTGCACATAAACAAATATGAAATTTTCATTTGTTTTTCCTTAATACATTCGCCATGTTAGTACAAATTAGTGGGTTTGTTTTTGTTTTTGCTTTTGTTTTTTGAAACAGGGTCTCTCTGCATATCCCTGGCTGGCCTGGAACTCGCTCTGTAGACCAGGCTGGCCTGGAATCCAAGATCCATCTGCCTCTGCTTCCTGAGTGCTGGGATTAAAGGCGTTCGTTACTACACCCAACACAAAATTATTGTTTTAAAATAAGTACTATGACACAAGTAACTTGCATTTACTTAAAATATTGGATTTTGCCAGGTAATGGTGGCACATGCCTTTAATCCTAGCACTCAGGAGGCAGAGGCAGGTGGATCTCTCTGATTTTGAGGCTAGCCTGGTCTTTAGAGTGAGTCTAGGATGTCCAGGGCAGAGAAACCCTGTCTCAAATAAAATTGAAATAATACATACTTTAGTAGCCATAGAAAACAAACACATGCCAAAAACAAACGAAGCTAAAATAGGTTTTAAAGAAATCGGGTGTAGGTAGGGTTATAGTCAGATAGCAAGAGTGGTTTTTTTTTTTGTTTTTGTTTTTTTTTTGGTTTTTCAAGACAGGGTTTCTCTGTGTAGTTTAGGTGCCTGTCCTAGATCTCGCTCTGTAGACCAGGCTGGCCTCAAACTCACAGAGATCCACCTGACTCTGCCTCCGAAGTGCTGGGATTAAAGGCATATATCACTGCTGCCCAGCTAGCAAGAGTATTTTCAACTAACAAATATAATTTGCATGGTTCTAATTATGAACTTCAACTATTTTTCTAGTCCACCATAATAAACACAAATACTAAATAGTTTTGAGCTAGGGATATCACTTACAGGTAGAGAAGTTGCCTAACGTGTGCAAGGTCCTGGGTTCAGTTACACACACACACACACACACACACACACACACACACGCACGCACGCACGCACACACACACATGCACGCACGCACACACGCACACTTTAAAACTCAGGTTGTTTATACCCTTTGACTTAGTAATACTCCAGTTTAGGCTTTATTCTATGAAAATGAAAGTCCTGGTACATAAGGAAACCCATCCGAGGGGAGGCAAAGCATGGTGGCGTTTGTCTTTTAATCCCAGCACTAGAGACAGAGGGAGGTAGATCTCTGAGATCTAGGTCAGTCCAGGTCTATATAGGACGTGAGAACCTGTCTTAAAATAAATACATAAAATTTACAGAGAAGAGAGAAGCAGTGTGTGTATGGCCCATTAATGGGCTCTGTCTCCTTGTGGAATACGATGTAATCATGCAATTTACGCCAGTGTGAGTTGGCTTCCTGTATTGGTCTGAACAAATGGCCATGACACATTGAGAGATTGAGGTTTCACACTGATTTGGTTTCATGTTTGTAAAGAACTTACCGTCCCGCACATACAGATGTGAGGTTTGAAGACACATGAGATGGATGTAGTGGCGACAGCAGAGCATAGAGGAGAGGAAACAAACCATTTTGTTTATTTAATTACATTTTTTCCTTCATGTTTTTTTTTATGTATATGGGGGTTTTGTCTGCATGTGTGTCTGTGCACCACGTGTGTGCAGTGTCCGTGGAGAACAGAAGAGGGCATTAGGTTCCCTGGGACTGGAGTTATGGATGGTTGTGAGCTACTATGTGGGAGCTGGGAATTAAACCTGGGCCCTTAGGAGGAGCATCCAGTGCTCTTGACTGTTGAGCCATCTCTCCAGCCCACAAATCACACCCCTTCCCCCCAGACAGGGTCTCACTGTGTAGCCCTGGCTGTCCTGGAACCCATTCTGTAGACTAAGCTGGCCTCAGACACCCAGAGATCCACCTGCCTCTGCAAATCCCTTTTGTGGAAGAGACTGCTGAATCAAAACAACTGTCCACTCCATGAGTCTCAACTAAACAATGAGGATGAATTGGAGTCACTTGTAGCGATTGTGACTGTATCTGTATGTCTTTCACTTCAGTTACCGATGACTTTTGAAGATGTGGCCATTTATTTCTCTGAGCAAGAGTGGCGGCATTTGGAAGCATGGCAGCAGGAACTTTACAAGCATGTCATGAGAACCAATTATGAGATTCTTGTCTCTCTAGGTAAGAAGTTTTCAACTCCTGGGGTGAGTCTTGCAACTGATCTTCTGAGAGCCCCTCAAGCACTTGATACTCCTGTTGGGTGGCAAGATTGCTTAGGTACTAACCCAGAAAAGCCTGTTAGTTCTTTGTTGTTGTTGTTAATAATAAAGTACACATTACACTTCCTTACTCAGGGTAGACGGTACAGGACAGTATTTAAGACAACATGTGATGTCACATAGTCAGAGGTAGCTAAGGCATATGTTAAAACTTTTCCCATCACAGTTTTCTCTGAGATTGCCTGATTTTCCACTGAGAAGCACACCTGCCTTATCCCGTAAAGGACCTGTGTGCCTTAACCTAGAAATTGGGCTCCTTGCAGCTTTACAGCGGGGTTAAAGACTGCAAGACACTAACGGTCTTCTCTGTAGTGTGGTTCTGAAAGAGTGCACATTGAGGTGATTAAGTGTGACTGAATCTGATTAGGATAATGGATGTTTTTCCTTCTTGGGTTCTATCATCACCACCATCATCATCATCATCATCATCATCCCTCCTCTTCCTGTGTGTGATTCTGGAGAGAACATCCAGGTCTTTGCATGTGCTAGGCAAGGGCCTTACCACTTGAATTAAACTTACATCTCCTTTATAGTTATTGGTTTTTTTTTTTTTATTTTTGTTGCTGTTTTATAGTTTTTTGAGACAAGGTCTCACTTACTGTATAGCTGAGGCTGTCCTGGAACTCTCTGTATATAGCTCAACCTAGCTTCCAACTCACAAAGATCTACTTGCCTCGAGTGCTGGGATTAAAGGTGTATAGCAGCCAGGTGTGGTGGCACACCCTGGTAAGATATGCTGAAGAGGCAGAGGCAGGAGGATTATAAATTTGAGGCCAGTCTGGGCTATATAGTGAATTCTAGGACATGATGGGTTACACAGAGATGCTATTAAATAAATAAATAAATAAATAAATAAATAAATAAATAAATAAATAAATAAATAAATAAATAAATAAATAAATAAAATGGCGTGAACCATATGCCTGGCTAATTTTTCTTATTTATCAAATGAATTTTTAAGTGAGTCTGGAGCTGGAGAGATGAGTCAGTATTTCAGTAGTGAAAACACCTACTTTGGCAGCATGAAAATCTGAATTTACAGGCTCAGAACTCACATAAAAAGATGGCACATGCCTGTTTATAATCCCATTGATGGGCCAGGTGAGAGGTGAAGACCGGTGGATCCCTAGAAGATTGAAGGCCACCTAGCCTGACCTACATGGCAAAAAGATTGAGGCTAATGACAGATCCTGTCTCAAAATTTAAAAGGTGGAATGTAGCAGGTCTTTCTTTGCACTACCAGCTCCCAGATAATGACACAGAGACTTTCTATTAATTATGAAAGCTTGGCCTTAGCTTAGGCTTGTTCCCAACTAGCTCTTAAAACTTAAATTAACCCACTTGTATTAATCTACATTCTGTTTCATGGTTTGTTACCTCTCCTCAGTACCATATGTCCTACTTCCTCCGAGTTTGGCTGATGAATCTCCTGCCTCAGATTTGAATCTCTCAAATGTAGCCAGACACTTCTCCCACCCATGGTCCCGCAGCCGCTTATAAAGTAAACACACAGAGGCTTATATTAATTACAGACTGTATGGCCTATGGCTCAGGCTTCTTGCTAGCTAGCTCTTACAACTTAACTGAACCCATTCCTATTAATCTGTCTTGTCACACGGCTTTGTGGCATTACCTGTTCTCTCATATCTTGCTTCTCCTAACAGCAGCTCACAGCATCTCCATCATTCCATTCTTCATCTCTGTCTTCAGTTTTAATGTACCACCTAACCTTATTCTGCCTCACCATTGGCCAAACAGCTTTATTTATCAACCAATGAGAGCAAAACCTATTCACAGTGTACAGAAAGATATCCCACAGCAAGATTCTTTCCCAGAGTTCCTATCTCTCCCTGGATGTCCTGCCTATCCTCTCCTGCTTAGCTATGGGCAGTTCAGCTCTTCATTAAACCAACCAGAAGGTGCCTTAGGCAGGTGAGGAAGGACAGAGACACATTTTCATACAGTTTACAAAAAGATTGTCCCTATAGTAAAAGGTATCCTGAGAACCAATACCCAAGGTTATCCCTTGACTTCCAAATGCATGCCACGTACCTCCCAACATACACACATACAAAATTATTGGAATTTTTCCCAAGGGCCTGCCCTTTGCAAATCATTCCCAGAGTCCTGGGGAAGACGCTATGTTCAGCGTGGGGTTGGTTATCTGAGGGAAAAGAATCTGTGTACACCATGCTCTTTCGTCCGTTACTTTATTACTTTGAGACAAAATTCTGTCCTCATAGCTTCTGTTCTTAACTCACACTCAGCGGCTCTCTGTCCCGTCTTTTCCCGTCCTCTTAGAGCCCTAGTAACTAAGCTCTTGTGCTCTCGATCTCATCCTCCACCCCTCCATCCTCCATCTGTACTTCCTCTTTTCCTCTTCTGACCTGGTTCAAACCTACCTATAGTCTGCAAAACTTTTCCTTGCTCTTTCTTCCTCATCCCAAGCCATTCTGCCTTATCATCTATAGATACTGCCTTATTCCTCTAGCCATGGGACTCTGCTAGGACCAGGAATTCTCTCCCAGCTATCACTGCACCTGGTTATGCAAAAAACTCTATTGTCCTGAGTCAGTGATTCTGCAATGCTACTAGGCCTGAAAGAAAAGGATGGTCTGAGCTTCATTTGCACAAGAAACAAAGCTATGCATCTACAATCTGCCTGTCTCTTAGGCTCTGTAGGGGTGTTACCTAGTAGATCAGCAGTAGGTCTGAGAAGCTTATACTGTTTGCCATAAGGCCTGTAGTATATGAGTGCGCAAGAATTTCATAGCAGAAGACAGCTGATATATTAAAAGCTGAATAACACCAAATATTCCTTGATATTCTTTTTTTTTTTTAATTTTATGTGTTCATGAGTACTTTATCTCTGGAGCTATAGACCGTTGTAAGCTGCTGTCTGGATGCTGAGAATTGAACCCAGGTCTTCTGGAAGAACAGATCTCTGTGAGTTTGAGGCCAGCCAGAACTACATACTGAGATGTCAGACATCATCATCATCACAATAATAATAACAGTAATAAAGCATTTTCCCATTTGTTTTTTAATTAAATAAAACATCATTAGATATGTGGAGACTATGAAAAATGGCACAATTGCTATAACATGTCTAGATAGACCAGGAAGTGCTGATAGATGGGTGAGTCTGTTTGTCAACATATCATATATTGTTCCAGAGTAGATTTTGAGAAATTTAAAATTGATGTGCCTTATAACACCCAAACCAAACTACCCTGTTGGACTTCTCTGTACAGATAATGGACTTCCAAAACCACAACTAATATCCTCGATTGAACTTGGGAGAGAGCTCTTTGGCAGCTGGGGAGAAGAACAGAAACTAGAGAAAGGGACTCACTCCTCTATAGATGATGTGCACTTTCATCCAGTTATTGAGGAACGGCTAATTGAGAGTGAGTATGAAGAGCCTGGTGTCCTAAAGTGGATGTTGTGATGTACACTTGTAATCTCTGCACTTGGGAGATGATGCAAGAGGAGAGGAGCCCCAAGTTATCCTCATCAGCATAGTGAGTTAAGTCCAGTCTGAACTACACGAGGCCCTATCTCAGAAAAGAAAGAAACCATGGTCTTACCCAAACACATCACATTCCGACTTCTTGTTTTTCTTTCTCTGATCTTTTCTTCCTGTTTGACTGACCTGAGGCTTGATGTTGCATATATTTTAGAGAAAGGCAGTAAAGCATAGTGGTTAGGCATGTGACTGCTAAAGCCTGAGTCTGATCTCTCCATTTGTAGGTGACTGTCATTTTCTATTGTTGTGACAAAATACCATGACCATGACAACTACTAAAAGAAGGTTTTAACTAGGGGCTGATGGCTGCAGAGGCCTAGAGTCCATGACCATCATGGCATGGGGCATGGTAGCAGGCAGGCAGGCATGGCAGTAACACTGGAGCAGTAACTGAAAACTCACATCTCATCCACAAGTAGAGACAGAGAAAGCTAACTGGGAATGGCATGGGCTTTTGAAATCTCAAAGCCCACCCCACAGTGATGCACCTCTTCCAGTAAGGCCACACCTCCTAATCTTTGCCAAACAGTTCTACCAACTAAGGGCCCTGTGTAGATGTAACCAACGGTCTTATTAAATAAGAAACACAGAGCTGATTCAGAGAAGAAAGCCAAGAGGTCAGAGCTAAGAGCCTCACCCTTCCTGATTCAGGGATCCTGTTCAGCCAAGAGAGCTCTCCGAAAGGGATCTACTTCCTGTGTGTATGTCTTTATATACTCTAGCTGTTCTGCCTTCTCATTGGTTGTAAACCCAAACATGTGACTGCCTTGTCACTGCCTGAATGTACCGCCCTCCAGGTCCTTAAAGGCGTGCGCCACCGCCGCCATGCACTTGCTATGGCTCTAATAGCTCTGACCCCCAGGCAACTTTATTTATTAACATACAATTAAAATCACATTTCAGTACAAGTAAAATACCACCACATTTCCCCTTTTCTATTTTAATAAAAAGGAAAAAAAAGAAAAGGTTATAACTAACAAAAGAAAAACTATATACAAAAGTACAATGACTATATACAATATATACAAGTAATAAATGTCTAAACAATGTCTAGTCCATTTGTAGTTGACAAATACAGAGAAAATTTCATTATCTATCCTATTTTGTTAAGTCCAAAATGTATCACTTTCTATCCTAATTAATCTTCAACTATAACTAACTAACCTTCAACTCCCTCAGAGACCCAAGAAGGAAATAATATTAGCTAACAAAAATAAAAACAGGAAGTGCACATGAGCAACTTCCAAAAAATTTGTGAGTTGACAGAAACAGACAGCTGTCTGGACAGTCACCTGAGGTTTCTCCGAAGTGCTGGGGCATCATCTTCAGCCTATAGGCTTAGTATATCTGACAGACTCATTTGTGAAGTAGGATGTACACAAGGTCAACAGTTCAACCTCACATTGAGTGAGAGTAGTCCATGTACCAGAAACACCTGAATTCCACTAGTGTCATGTCATGATTCAGGATTTTAAATTCTGGAAATTGTTGATAGTTTTTTAATTCAGCTGTCCATTCTTCTTGACTGTGTATATATGGCTTCATCTCAGCATCCCATTCTTCTCCATATCCCTCTATCAAATGCCAGTCTACTATTGAGAGGTGTGAGCTTAGTTACTCTTCAAGAATAACTGTTTCAGCTGCTGTTCCATTGCACATCAGAGGCCATCGGCCCACTGCCTGTTCAGCTGCCTTCGAAGAAAAGGGCACTGTACCTTTTTCGAATTGCGAAGGCCACTTCAGGGATGGTGCCATATTGTCCTGGCCTCTGAAGATGCCTTTTGATAAAGCCATAACCACACTTGTTTTGGCAAGAATCAGTAATCCTTTGTTTTATGTCCTGTCTGTCCATTTTGTCCTGTTGATTCGAGGATACTTTGTTGTCCAGTGGCTAACTTTTGCCACAATGAAAGTTAACTCCATATGCAGTTTCTTCAATGCCCATATTTTCTCTGAAGTAGATTGGTACTGCCAGGAGCCGACATGTCTCATAATCATAACAAAAAAGAAAAATTTTCTAAGTTATTAAAACATTTTAAATGCCATATTCTGTAGATCTCTGAAGGGTTTGAAGATGACCTGTCTAAAATATATCTGCTCAATTTTTAAGACATATCTAATATGACTACAAGTTCTATTGTAATGTCTAACTACTAACTTTCATTTCTTTATATCCTAATAGTTGGTAATAATAACATTCAAGGATCAGAAAATTGCATTGTTAAATGAACGGTATAAGTACAATTAGAAATATACATATAGCATTTTCTAACAATATCAATTTCAATATATATATAATTTGTATACAATATAAAACAATCCAATCCAATGTAAAATATTTAAAACTAGTAATTGTCTTTTTCTTCTTCTTTCTTTCTCTCTTTTTTTTAAACAAGAACCTTAAATCTAATCTCCTTTGCTTAGCCTTTTTCCTAACCCTTGACAACAACTTGTAACCAACCCCCCTAAACAATTAAAATTATCCCAGACCCAAAACCCATTAAAAAGACCAAAAAACCACCCGCCCCACACCACCTCTTTGGGAATGTGGGCGTCGTATTCTTAAAATTGCTTCCTGCTGGGTATGGGCGAAGGTATCTTTATCCTGAAAGAAAAATTTTAGGTTAATTGTCAAATTCTAGGAAAGGTAACTATGTCCTTCATTATCCAGTCTGTGTATAATGCCGAAGTTCAGGGTTTATCTCAAGTCCTTATTCAAGTAGTCTTTGAGACTGGATCATCTCAGCTAGTCATCTCAAAATTGCTCTGAGCACCTTGTAGTTCAAAGCTGATCTGTAGATAATGTTTGTCAGCTTAGTGATGTTATTATTGTCCACGTGGAATTGTTGTTGTTGTGGGGCCCCAACTTCTTCCTGGAGACTTCAGTTGATGTTAGGCCTGGCCGTGATTTCCTGCAGAAAACTGATAAGAGACTCGAACACAAAGACATATATATGCAGCTAATTGAAGCCTTTTTTCTAGAATTAGTTAGTACTCTATATGACCATTCATATCTTAACAAAGTTTAAAATGTATATATATCTATATATATTAATCTTGTAAATTTTGATATAAAATTTATACTTTAAGAAAAGTTTTAAAGAATCAGAATAGAATCAAAGAGTTGAGATTAGTAATAGAATAGTCCCTTAATTAATTTGGCTTTTCTCCTGTCTCATAGCAGAAGATGGCTCTTTTATTCTGGCATGATACAGGGAGTTTGCATTTTCCTTTTAACAACATGCTTGAGTTTAAAGAAGGAGAGAGCCATTCTCCAACTCCAAAGTCAGCTTTAAATTTTAATTGAACTGGGACTATTAGAAGACCAATAGTGTTAAATTTTTAGAGAAAAGCAGAAACAAACCTTTAGGAAGACATAAAATTTTTTAGATAATATATACCCATACACCGTTTCACTCTGTTTCCTGGGATAGATGATTTGTCCCTTTTCGTCAGTTGTCTCATTTGTCCAGTGTTCTTCAGATTCCTTAACCTTCATTCTCCTAAAAGACAAAAACAAAAACCTTTCCCCAAGACTAATTTTGGGGATGTTCCTTTTTGGCAAGTTATTATCTGATTAAATGAAAAGACATGTTTTACTGGTATAAGTTAGTTTTAATTGGATGTTCATGCTGGTTGAAGAACTATCACTTCCTCTAATTAAGAGGTTTCTCTTGTTCAAACCTTTTGAAATTGCTTCTCCTACCCACGTATCATCATGCTCATGAGCTTCAACATTAACCGTGTCTCTAATTCAATCTTCCAAAGGTGCAGATCTTGCCTTTAACGGCCTGATTATTGTTTTGCATGCTGCATTCGCATTCTCAAAGGCCAAAGATTCAATTATTATCTTACTAGCTTCTGAATCCGGGACCATTCTCTTTACTACTGAGGCCAGTCTTTGTAAAAAATCTGTGAAAGATTCTTTTGGGCCTTGTACAACCTTTGTAAATGACTCAGTTTTTTTTCCTGGTTCCTCAACTCTGTCCCATGCATTCAAGGCTGCTGTTCGACATAAAATTAGGGTTTGGACATCATATAAACATTGTGCTTGTGCTGAAGCATATTGACCTTCTCCAATAAGCTGATCCTGGCAGACTTGTATTCCTTTATCCCTCCACTGTTTTTCTATGTTTTTAGCTTCATCCTTGAACCAAGTTAGCCATTGAAGCCTTTGACTGGGTTCAAGAACAGCTTGTGCCAGCTCCCGCCAGTCCTGTGGTACAATCCTATTATATGTTGACCAAGAGTTTAACATTTGCTTTACATATGGGGAATGCATGCCATAAGATACTATTGCCTCCTTAAACCTTCGTAAATCTAACATTTCAATTGGAGCCCAAATATTTTGTGTAGTCATTTGATCAGGCAACTGCTGTACGGTTACTGGACAAACTAAGGGTGACTGTGTGAAAACAGGCTTTCTTTCTGTAACCCTATGATCCAATCTTGAAGCAACTTCACTGTTAGTTTCTTCTGTCTGAGTTTTTACAGATTTATCAAGTTTTTCTAAAGCTGTCACCCTGGCACTTAAATTGACTATCTTTTTAAATACTAAAATGAGGATAAGCATAGTAATAAAATGCATAATTCGATCAACATTAATCTTCTCATATAGCTGTTCCATTGTCAGACTGCTTAAAATTGCAAACAAAGCCCAATTTTCTTCCAATGTACACAGAAAACCCATTTTTTTTTTAATGTGGAAAAAAAATTTCTCTTTTAAATAGTTTCCTTTAAAATATTTGATATATTAAGTGACTTACCAAGTCCTCGTAGAACAGTACCAATCCGAGGGAGTTTCAAAACAGCCACCTAGTGTCCGAGGTGTGAATCCAGAGAGAGAGAGAGAGAGAGAGAGAGAGAGAGAGAGAGAGAGAGAGAGAGAGAGAGAGAGACAGAGAGACAGAGAGACAGAGAGACAGAGAGAGAGAGAGAGAGAGAGAGAGAGAGAGAGAGAGAGAGCACGCAAGAACCGTAGCCGCAAGTTCTGCCTAAGAGCTTGAATCCAGCCACATGTTCCCGCTTGAGCCTAGTCAAGCCTTGGCTCTGGCTACCTTAAGCTCCAACCACGTGTGTTGGCTTTACAGGCAGGGGCCCTGTTCGGCAGGGCAGGCCTGAGTTGTCTGTAGCACCGGCTTTAAGCAAGTAGTTGAAGGTTAGTCCGGCCTGAGGCCAAGCCGACCTGGGCCCGGCCGGGCTAGGGAGCCGGCTGTCCTGGGAAACCGGACCTGCCACCAAGCCAAGTTAAGCGGTTTTTAATGGATTCTTGTCACGTTGGGCGCCAAATGTAGATGTAACCAACGGTCTTATTAAATAAGAAACACAGAGCTGATTCAGAGAAGAAAGCCAAGAGGTCAGAGCTAAGAGCCTCACCCTTCCTGATTCAGGGATCCTGTTCAGCCAAGAGAGCTCTCCGAAAGGGATCTACTTCCTGTGTGTATGTCTTTAGATACTCTAGTTGTTCTGCCTTCTCATTGGTTGTAAACCCAAACATGTGACTATCTCGTCACTGCCTGTATGTACCGCCCTCCAGGTCCTTAAAGGCGTGCGCCACCGCCGCCATGCACTTGCTATGGCTCTAATAGCTCTGACCCCCAGGCAACTTTATTTATTAACATACAATTAAAATCACATTTCAGTACAAGTAAAATACCACCACAGCCCTGTATTAAAACATATGAGTCTGTTGGGCCATTCCAATCCAAGAACCTACAGTAGAGTGTTAGAAAGGAGTAGTGTGTACAGTGCTGAAGTAGTCATTAATGGAAGCTGTTCTCACCAGTGGATGGGAAAGAACAAAGCTGAGATTGACTTTCCCTGTCTTCTTGAGCAAAGCAGTCTTTCAGCTGTGAGCCCCTATAATATCCAAAGAGAAGTAACATACTACTAATATACCATGGCACAGTGCAATGATTACTCTTCCAAAAATGAAGACTGGGGGTATAGCAAGAAAATAGAGGACTGAAGGAAGACCCACATCCAGCAGGGCAAACACTAAGCCCTGCAGGTCCATATCTACCAGCTGGGGCTTATGCTGGAATCATTTAGGTTCTACTGGCCTTGGGCAGCTCTGTCTCTCTAGCTCTGCCCCTATAGTACATCTGAGGTACTTCTTGGGCCAGCTCCAGATTGTTCCTGCAATTTTCCAGAGTTCGGGCATCTCTCCATAGAGAGACCCTGTCTCAAAAAGAAATTAATAATTTATTGTATTATTTATTATTTGTGTGTATGGTGTGTATGCCTGTGTAAGTTTGTATGCTCCGTGTGTATGCAGTGTCCACAGAGGCCAGAAGATGGAGTTGAATCCCATGGAATTGGAACCATCATGTGGGTGCTGGAAACAGAACCTGGGTCCTCTGCAAGAGCAGTCAGTCAGTCCTCTTAAACCACCCATCTGTCTCTCCTGCCATATTCCTCCTCACCTCTTTTTTTTTAAGCAGGATAAAGAGCCCCAAACCAGAAGCAATTAGCTTGGCAAGGTTTGCACAGTGGGCAAATGGGATTCATACCTACGCAGTCAGTTTCCAGGCCTTAGACCCTCCCTTCGAGACTGGGGTTTTCATCTTTTCACTTTCGTCATAACATTAACATAGCTCAGTTTAGTTTAGTTTCTGCAAATGGTTGTTGAACTCATTTTGGTCATGTTTTGTAGTTTACTGGGAGCAGGATGCTCCCACCACAGGTTGACTGTTTATGGGTCACTTTACCGGTGATGACTTTCAGTCATGCCATAGACAAAAGATTTACTGAATTTTTGTTTTCATTTACAGGTAGGCAGCATGCTGCAAAGTCAAGAGGAGTCACACGCCGTTTGCAGTTAAGTCCTCTGGAGAGTCAGCATTCCTTTGGGCTTGGTTTAGGAGGAAAGGAAGATGTTTCCCTCGGGTGTGACCAAGGCATCGGTCTTGTAAATGCACAGACACACAGCCTCGGGACTCTGGTTTCCACAGTGCACAGTTCCAGTGAGGCTGCCCCAAAAGAAGGACTCTGGAGTCACAGAACTCCGGATCTCCCTGGCTTGCAAAAAGTCACCTCTGGGCAGAGTACCCAACACTCTTGTCCTGTCTGTGGGGAGAACTCTCGGGAGGAGAATCACTTAGTGAAGCCCCGAAAGGGTCACCCCAAGAACCCATCATGTAGGGTCTGGAAGAAGGTCAGCAGGCAGGCTGAGTCACAGCAGCAGTGGGATTTCTCCTGTCCTGAGTGTGGGAAGAGCTTCTGCCTGAAGCAGTATTTGGTGAGACATCTAGATGCCCATACAAGGAGGAGACCACCTCAGTGCCCTACATGCAAAGTGCACTTCCATCATGAGTGTACCCTTTTCAGCTCTCACCTCAAGAACAGTTCTTCCCAGCACCCCAAATGTGTTCACCAATACCAGCAGAGCCAAGAGAGGCCAGCCTCCTGGAGGGAAGACACCATGGTGCCCTCAGGACAGAAGCCAGATCCCAGCCTGGACGATGAGGGCTGCTGCCACAAGGGTAGCAAGCTGAAGGCCCTGCAGTGTGGCTGCAGCCTAGGTGAGGACAAACCCTGCTCATGCACAGAATGTGGCGGTTGCTTCCTCTCACGGTCTAAGCAGGCCATCCTCTGCAGGACACACACAGGAGAAAAACCCTTTTGGTGTCCAGAGAGCAACAAGTGCTTCTGCCTGAGAGACCTGCAGATTGTCCACCGGAGTGTGCATGGTGAGGAGAGACGGTTCTCCTGTAGGAAGTGTGGGCAGGGCTTCACTAAACATTGCAAACTCACAGAACATACCCGAGACCTCAGTGGGGAGAAATCTTTCTGGTGTACCCAGTGTGGAAGGAACTTCAGCCCAAAGGGACAGCCGCTGAGGCACCCGCGCCTTCACCCAGAGGAAAAGCCCTTTCAGTGTACAATGTGTGACTTATGCTTCCGTCTGAAGAGCAGGTTGAGAGAAAGGCCATTCTCCTGCAGCGAGTGTGGCCGTGCCTTCACCCATCAGTGCAAGCTCCGTGAGCATCTCAGAGTGCACAGCGGAGAGAGGCCCTTTCGGTGTCCCGAGTGCCACAAGAGCTTCCGCCTGAAGGGCATCCTGAAGGCCCACCAGCGCACCCACAGCAAGGAGAGGCCGTTCTCTTGCGGGGAGTGTGGCAAGGGCTTTACCAGACAGTCTAAGCTCACAGAGCACTTCCGTGTCCACAGTGGAGAGAGGCCCTTCCAGTGTCCAGAGTGTGACAGGAGCTTTCGCCTAAAGGGGCAGCTGCTTAACCATCAGCGCCTACACACGGGAGAGAGACCCTTCCAGTGCCCGGAGTGTGGCAAGAGCTACCGTGTGAAGGCCGACATGAAGGCACACCAGCTGCTGCACAGCGGCCAGATGCCATTCTCCTGCCATTGTGGGAAGGGCTTTGCCAAACAGTCTAAACTCGTGGAACACATGAGGACACACACAGGAGAGAAGCCTTTTCAGTGTCCCAAGTGTGACAAGAGCTTCCGATTGAAGGCTCAGCTGCTCAGCCACCAGGGCCTGCATACAGGCAAGAGACCTTTCCATTGCCCCGAATGTGATAAAAACTTCCGGGAAAGGGGTCACATGCTCAGGCACCAGCGCATCCACAGGCCTGAGAGGCCCTTTGCCTGTGGAGACTGTGGGAAAGGTTTCATTTATAAGTCCAAACTGGTTGAGCACCTTAGAGTGCACACAAAGTCCTGTCAGGTTCCACGTGAGCCTGACATTAAGAAAAGGCTTAGCCAACTCTTTGCGATGATCGAGGCTGACTGGAGTTGAGGCCTCAACTTAATCGCCAGGGTAGCATGAAGGATGGTAGCTAAACCCACAGGAAAGCAGGTTTTAGGAGAAGGGGCTCTACTTTTATCAAAAAATATAACAAATTAAAAATTGGAAACTATGGAGAATTTTCTTTTTTGAAATACCACCAATTATATTTTCCCTCCCTTGGTAAAAAGGTATTTGTTCTTCCTCCCACTTTAACTGCATTTTGCCCAAATGCAGTTAGTTCAAAAGTCCTATCTTAAACCAGAAGGAAATCCCTCCAGTACCACTGTCAAAGCTAAAAGGGAAGTCTGTTTAATATCAAATCTACTCTGTTCTTTTCAGAATATGATTCTAAATGGTTAAATCCAGCAAATTTTATTCCTGTCGTGATACACTTTTTGATTTGCTTTTGATTCATTTATTTTGAATCCAATAGCAATAAGATGAAGTCTGAATTTCATGTGAATGCTGAAGTTTCTCGTCAGGGCCCTTGGTGATTAATGTGTGGTGTACCCTAAGAAAATGCTGATAGTCTGAGTTGAAGAAACAAAAGACCAAAGGTGTTGAGAGGTTTGGATCAAGATCGGAGTTAAGCCGGGCGGTGGTGGTGCACGTCTTTAATCCCAGCACTCAGGAGGCAGAGGCAGGCGGATCTCTGTGAGTTCGAGGCCAGCCTGGTCTACGAAGCGTGCAAAGCTACACAGAGAAACCCTGTCTCAAAAAAAAAAAAAAAAAAAAAAAAAAAAAAAAAAAAAAAAGATCGGGGTTGAATTGGTGGGTAAAGATTTGGGAGTTCCAGAGTAGAGATGCTACTTGGAGCAGAAGTGAGATTCCCAAGAATGAATGAATATTTAAGCAATTGCCTAAAGCATATGCAGAACACAAAACAGAGGTATCACAATATGTGAATGATTTATAGTCTCAAGTCTTTTTAAACTACAGAGATCAGAAAGGGATTCTTTTAAAATTTCAAATTCTAATGTTAGAGAAGGAAACAAAAGCCACCAAAGTCTCCCCAACAGCCTCAGGCCCAGGTGGTGACTGTATTGAGGTTCCTCCCTCTTACCTGCCCAACACAGTCTGACTATGTAGTCCTGGCTGGCCTGGAATTCACTATGTAGACCAGGCTGGCCTCAACTCACAATTATCTACTGCCTCGGTCCCCCAAGTTCTGAGATTAAAGGTGTGATCTTCCACATACAACTCACTGGACTTATTCCAGGGCAGGGATTTCTTGCATTGCACTTAACTGAAAAATCTAGAAATCCATGTGATGTTTCGTGGATAGGAAATACCTCGAACCAAACCTAACCCCACTACCTAACTAGTTAATCACAGAAGGAAGAAAAGAGGAGGTTGTTTTTTCAAATATAAAAGGGCAGCACAAGGGGAAAAAGGATGGACAAAACCAAGTGTTCAATGAAAAAAATCACAGGCAGGATAACCAGCAGCATCTCGGATGAGACCAAAAGCTTGGTAAGAAGGAAATCTTGAGATAAGGAAGATAGATCAATGATTAATAAGTTGTGATTTTGGAGACAAAGAGATGTTTTAGGGACAAAATGGAAACCTCTATCAGCTTGAATGCAATTCCTTGGCTCACTTTTTATCAAGACAGATTTTTGTCATTGTTTGTTCGTTTTTTTAAAATTTTTTTATGCGTATGGGTGTTTTACCTGCATGTATGTCTGTATACCATGTGCATGCCTGGTGCCCACAGCGGCCAGAAGAGGGTGTGTAGTATGCTCTGGCTCTGGAGTTATGGACTGTTGTGAACTGTCATGTGAGTGCCACGATTCAAACCCAGGCGCTCGACAAGAGTAGCAAGTGTTCTTAACTGGTGATCCGGTCCTCCAGCGCCTGCATTGACTAATGCTTTTCTGTATGTGTGTGTGTGTGTGTGTGTGTGTGTGTGTGTGTGTGTGTGTGTGCCAGCGCATGCGCCATGGTGCTTGTGTAGAGTTTAGAGGACAACCCCTCTTTTCTACCTTGTGTAGTCAGGGCCTCTGTCTGTCTCTATGCTGTATACTCCCTTGAGCTTTACGGGGACTGGCCTGTCTCTGCCTTCTACCTCAGAATGGAAATGCTGGATTACAGACAAGTACCATGGTGTCCAGCATTTTATTTTTAAATTATTTATTTAATCCTGTGTATGTACATGGGTCTATTCAGCTGTGTGCTTGTGCACTGGGAGGCCAGACTCATGGAATCCCCCAAGAATTACAGGTGGTGGGTGCTGGACTGGAATTCAGCTCCACAAGAGTGGTACACACTCTTTTGTTTGTTTTCGAGACAGGGTTTCTCTGTGTAGCTTTGCGCCTTTCCTGGATCTCACTCTGTAGACCAGGCTGGCCTCGAACTCACAGAGATCAGTCTGGCTCTGCCTCCCAAGTGCTGGGATTAAAGGTGTGCATCACCACCGCCCGGCAATGGTACAGACTCTTAATCACAACCACTGAGCCATCTCTCCAGCACTGAATGCAGTTTTTACTTGAGTTTTGAGGATCCAAACTGAGGTCATCAGGCTTGAGCACTTTTATCTGCTGAACCATCTCCCCAATCCAGGAGTCTGACTTTTAAAATGCTTCCTCAAATAGCATAAAATATTACAAAATGTACACTGAAAACTAGTTGGCACATAGGTTTTAATAGACATCAAATAAGCCGATCAAGGGGTAGAGTCTAGATTCAGCGTCATGCAGTCTGATTCCAGAAGACTTAAAATCTGATACACTTTTTTTTATAAAATTATGCTGTTTTTTTTATGTTTTAATGCTTAATTTCTACAAATTCCAACAGTGCTTCTCTTTTTAGTAGCAATATCAAATACTTAGAATACCCTAGCATTTAAAAACAATGAAACCTAAGGAGTATAATCTTCTTAAGGGGTTGTGATTACGGCTCCATGGTAATACACATGCATGGACTTGGAATGGTGCCCAGCACTATTAAAAACAAAACAAAACTTAAGGATTAATTCAGCTGGTAAGATTTTAAAAATTAGTGGCCAGTACCCTAGGCATAAAAAGGAAATGACTGAGCCAGCTCTCCATTTCTACAAACTTAGAAATAGCTTATCAAGAGCAATCCTCTGAAAAAAAAGATTTGCCCACCCTGTGTGGTAAGTAGCTGGAGATGCCTAAATGTGCATCTTGCCCTGTGACATCAAAGGCAGTCAGCACTCAGCTATAGGGAAATGCAATTAAAATGGCATCTACGGAAATATTATTATATTCTAAAACATGATCATATAATTTGAGTTCCAGGCCAGCCTGGTCTAAATAGCAAGTTGAAGGCCAGCTCGGGCTATGTAGTGAGACCTTGTCTAAAAAACAAAAACAAAACAGAAAATAAACAAACAAAACCTGGGGCCGGAGAGATGGCTCAGTGGTTAAGACCACTTACTGCTTTTGCAAATGATATGAATTCAGTTTCTAACACTCTTATTAGATGGTTCACAAGTACCTAAGTCCAGCCATAGGGGATTCAATGCCCTCTTCTGACCATTGCAGGCACCTAGCTAACACCTATACAACACATAATTTAAAAATAAAAGTGAGGGGCTGGAGAGATGGCTCGGCTATTCTTCCAGAAGACCTCAGTTTGATTTGCAGCACATACGTGGTGGCTTATAACCATTTGTAACTACAGTTATGGAAGTTCCAATACCTTCTTCTGGCCTCCTAAGGCACCAGGCATATAAGTAGTACAGAAACATATGTGAAAGCAAAATACCCATGCACATAAAATAAAAATGAAGGGCTAGGGCTGGAGAGATGGCTCAGAGGTTAAGAGCACCGACTGCTCTTCCAGAGGACCTGAGTTCAATTCCCAGCAACTACATGGTGACTCACAACCATCTGTAATGTGATCTGGTGCCCTCTTCTGTATGCATAATAAATAAATCTTAAAAAAAATGAAGGGCTAGACAGATGGTTAAAATTCAGTTCATAGCACCCACACTTTAGCTCCAGAAAATCCGATGACCTCTTCTGACATTTGAGGACACCAGGAATGCACATCCACATGGTGCACATGTATACATGCAGGCAAAACATGCTTCCACAGAAAATAAATCTAACAGTAAAAAAAATGAAATCTTAAAAAATGGAGAGATTACATTTGTTTTGTGTTGAGGGGGTTATATGAAGATGCATATCTTTTTTGCTTTGAGACAAGGCATTACTATCTTGTCCGGCTTGGCCTTGAAGTCCTGGGCTAAATCAATCTCCTGGTTCAGGCTCCAAAGTAGCTGAGACTACAGGCACACATCATCACAGCTAGATCAAAGAAAATATTTCTGAAAATAAATTCGTTTCTTCAGGCTTCCCTTGCTTCCCGTTCTAGTGAAAAGAGTTACATCAGAATTAAAAAAAAAAAAAAAAAAAAAAAAAGGGTGGAACCATCGTTGAGTTCTTCAGAAAATACAAGAAACTGTTGTCAACTCGTGTGGCTTAATAGGACTTAATAAACCTCATGAATCCAGAGCATATAGGGTGTGTGCCTGTCTGGTCTTAATTTTCAAAACATATAATCTGAACTTCTGATTGTGGACATGTATGCCAGAATTGTCACAGACTCTTCTGTAGACAGGCAATCTAGATGATCAGGACTCTTTCCCAATGGGCTACTTCTCTAGAGAGCTCTGCAGGAGTAAAGGAAAACATACATTCAAATTGGCCTAGTAACCTAGCCTAATAGTGTTAAAATGACACCCCACGGGAGCAGTCCTATGTATAGCTCACTTTCTCCTCTTGTATATGCAAGAAAATACTGCTGGACTCAGAGTTTTATTTATTTAGCCTCAGTGGTCGTCTGTATCTCTTCAGAGCATTTAACCCACGGGTGTTAGCCCTAATACCAGCACAGGCTTCTTCCCTGGCGTGCAGACCTAGTTTCTTCTCCAGAATAGTCACTCTTATCTCTACACCTAAACCACTAGGTTATCTAATTTTTCTTTTTAAAAGAAAACCATAGACTAAGCAAGCCTTGGAGTCCTAGTTCTGATTTTTCCTTCCTTCCTTTTTTTTTGAGAAACGATCTCACTAGAAGTCATGAGTCTCTGCCTCCACAGGCGTGGGTCAGCACATCCAGCTCTCAGTTAATCTACTTCATACTCCTTCCCTCCCAACC